TAAAAAATATAAAAAGAAAAAAATACATTTAATTATTTTTAAATTTATCCTTATTAATAATTTAATATTGAACAATAATCGTTAATTATTGTACAATCAAATAGTTATATTAATTGAATCTGCTATTTAGTATTTGCTATCCGTTATCTACTCTCTGCTATCTATCACCTACTATTTACTAACCACCACCTATTATCCGTTACTACCATTCGTTGTCTTTTACTCGTTACTAGTTATTTACTAAATTTTAACCGTTATACCACATAGACTCTTAGGTAGCATGTAGTTAACATTCTAGCATTAAAAATGGGCTAAGTAATTAATTTATTAATAATATAAAACCGACTCACTTTTACCTATCAATTAACATACACAATACAATAATTATTAACCAACAACAAAATTAATTACAAAAAAAATTATCCACCCTTCATCTTCTTCCTTACAACCTATATCTTCACATTTGTCTTCCCTATTCCCTCTTCTCATAACCAGTATTAACATTAGCACTAGCTACTCCCTTTCTCTTCTCCTTTTCTCCTTCTAGGCAACACAAACTCACTGAGAGCATTTGGATTCTCTTTCATCAAAATCTGGGCTTTATTCTTGTAGCCCTCTTCTCCACCCCACCATCATCTTAGATCTCATTCTCTCTTTTTCCTCTAGCTAGACAACACAGGCATGTTAAGAGCTTTCAGATTCTCTTTCATCAAAATCTGAGTATTATCTTTACAGCCTTCTTGTCAACCATCATCATAGATGATGAGTTTTATCTTTCTCTTTTTCCTCTACCTTCGGGGCTTGATTAACAAAATTGGCCTTTTGGACCATTTAGGACTTAAAATTGAAGATAGGTTTTTCAGGTCTTTGAAACTTTCTTCCATATGAATCTATCAAGGGCTCTGACCATGTCATGAATCATGGATCTAAAAAAAGGGCTCTAATCATGTATATTAGAGGCTTTAATCTTGAAGGTGAATTACTTTGCACCTTCAACATCTTTATGAGTTTGAAGAGGGTGAACAAACAACTCATGGCATTAATGGAGCTAATATTGAAGATGATTTCAATGGGACTCTGTAACTAATGAAGTTGCAAATAAAGATGTGACCATTGAAATTGATAATGATGTCAACGGGGTCAATGTTGTAAAAGAGACACCTAGAGATGTTGAGAGAGATAAAGGTGTGACTACTAAAATTCCCAATAATGTCAATGCTATCAATGTTGAAGAATAACTACTTAGTGATGTTGAGAGGGAAGGAACTCTAGTGATTGAAATTGTTGGAAAATGCTATGCTAATTGTCAAGAAAAAAGAGTATAAAAATAGTAGAAAGAAAAAGAAAGAAAGAAGTGTTTTGAGGCGTGCATGAAATCACTATCCCTAGGGCATCAAAATGGCCTCAAGATGGAACAAAACTTAAAACTAAACTCTCTTAAGAAAAACTAAAAAAAGGATCAAAATTCTCATATATAGTTTAACTTAGGCTTGCATATATTTCTAGTGGCTAAAAAGACACATAACCAAAAGTTATGTCATTTTACTAAATGTTAATTATGACATTTTAATAAATATGACCTTTTACAATGTACATTTATATATATTCATTTAAATTAAATGGATATATCCTTTTAATAGCCCATGAAAAACTTTAAATTAAAAATGAATTCATTTTTTTTACTTAAGGTATAATTTGCCTATTAATATTATTAAAACTAGAATACTAACACTTTAAAATACTTTGGATAGTTGTTTACAATAATTTTAGTACTATTTCAAACTAAATATCCATTATGAACTATGGCTTTTCAAGGAAAAAATGTATCAAATTGCTAGCTAAAGCCATGGCTTCCAAAAGAGAAGGATACAATGAAAGATTTGGAGATATTGAAGTTGTTCATGGAGTTCATACAATTGAGGAAGGTGCCTTTCCATGTTAACGACAAAGCTAAGTAAGAAAAGCTTTTTGGAACCTAATAAAATTTTTTAAGGATATGCTTAGGATTGTAAGTGAATGTAGTTGTTATGTGGTAATTGAAGATGTTGTCAAAAAATGTTAAGAGTGCCAAAGTTATTTTGAGTAACTGTAAAGTTGCAAACTCTAAAAGGGATTTAAAAAATAACTTGAGGAGTGTTAAGGTTTCTTAATGGTATCGGATTAAATTGATGGGATTGTCTATTCTGCTACCCAAATACTACTTTATCAACTCTGACTTAGGTGACTTTCTGTCCTGTATTTAGTTTCATTCACTTGCACTTATGTAAATATCAAAGCTAAAAGTAATTTTTAATGGCATAGAATTTCTTTATTTTATATTAAACTTGTGCAAAATTATTGTTTAATAACATGGAATTCCTTTAGTCCACGTTCTTTAAGGATAATTTATTAGTATGGATTATAATCCATTATGTTTATACTTTGAGGGTGCTTTATTGGGCTTTAATGGTTCTTTATTAGATTGAATTTATAATTTGTTATGTTTTTATTTAAAGGTGTATTTTTTGAGAATTTAGGTGCTATTTATTTTTAAATTATTTAAAGATGAGTTAGATTTAGAGTTTATTATGTTTAGAATTTAAGGGTGTTTTATTTAATTGGATTTATGATCCATGATATTTGGATTTTAAATGTTTTTTATTGGATTTCAAGGGAGTTTTATGATGTTCCATTTAGAGTCTTATATCTATTATGTTTGGACTTTAAGGATACTTTATTAAGGATTTTATAGGTTTTATTTTTAAATCATCAAAAGATGAACCTAATGTATAGCTTATTACATTTGGGCTTTAAAGGTGTGTTATTGGATTAAATTTATAACACTTAGACTTTATGGGTGCTTTATTAGGTTTTTTTGAGATTTAAATGGTTCTCATTTTAAATTATTTAAAGATATATAAATGTAAATATTTAATCTTATCAATGTTAATTATTAAGGCATTTTTAATAACTACCTTAATAGGTTACATTAGTCCAATAAAACATTGGTGATGTCATTTTGATGGTATATATTTTTGTTTTTTTTACATCCTTTGCTATCCAAAAACCTACCACAAAATATCCACACTTTTCATATCATCTTCATTTTACTTGAGTCTTTTTGCCTTCTCATCAAAGTTGCAAAGTTTTCGATAACTATTATTCTTCTCAACTTATCTTTCCCATAAATAATAGTATGTCCATGAGTCTGTTTGGCATAACAATTAAAATTCAATGAATAGCAAGTGGCAGATAGCAGTAGCAGGTAGCAGATGGTGGTTAGTAAATAGTAGGTGGTGGATAGTAGAAAGTAAGTAGTGGATATTAGATAGTAATTTTGATTAATATAACTATTTAGTTATATAATAGTTAACGATCATTATTCAATGTTAAATAACTAATAAATATATGTTTAAAAATAATTAAGTATACTTTTTTCTTTTTATATTTTTTATTATTAAAATTATCATTTTTATAAAAAAATAATAAGAAAATAAATAAATAAAATAAATTATAATTGTGTAATCACACTAATTTCTATTTTTAACAAAAAAATTATATTATTTTTAAATAAAATATAAAAAATGTTAATCTCTTTGTCTAATTAGTAAATTTTGTTTACTAAGTTAATATATTTTTATGATAAATTAATATAAAAATAAAAATATAAAAATCACTTAATGTTATTAAAGACAAAAAATAAAAATAAAATTAATTAAATAAGTACTAATTAAAAATTATGGTAAAAAATTAAAAAATTAAAATGAGTAAATTTGTCAATAAATTAAAAAATTTCAACCTACTAACAGTTTGATATAAGAAGTTACCTTGAATAGATTTTTCAATCCACTATAGGTTTGGACAGTAATTACTATCCACTAGTCCTAAATTTTTAAATAAAAATTTTACTAAACACCTAGTTTATAATAGTTTCAAAATAACTAAGTTTATCAAATATCTATCATTAGTGGTTTGGATAAAGTCATTAATTGCTACCCATAAATTGTTGTTCCAAGCCCTATATATGATTCAATTTTGTGGAAGCATTCAATGTGATGGCTACTTCTGTTGTGGTTGTTATGAATGTGAGAAAGGAAGTTTGAGACAAATAAGAAAGGAGGATTCACAAGTAGTTCTTATTGCTACAGGGTTAATCTTCCAATCTTCTTCCTTAATTTTTTTGCATCCCCAATAAATGGCAAAGAGGGTTTTGAAAGGTAGATCGAGAAGCAAATCAATCTTAAGTTTCTTTCTTGATTCAAATTTTATTTTGTTGGTTAGGGTTTGGTTGAAATGGATCAAGCAATTGTAAACAAATGATTTGAGAACAAATGCAATACCAATAAAATCTTTTAGAATTTGATAATGTTATAGTTACAATATGATGTAGAATTGTAAATTTATAATCATGATATAGTATTAAGTAAGTATGATATGACATTAAATAAGTGAATGCATACAGTATCACATGTATATCCTTAAATGAAACAAGCCAATTATATAATAATACATCATATTGTATGCTTATAATAACATGTGGTATTGTAACTATAACATTTTTGTTTAGGATTAGAAATTAGAGAAATACTTTTTCATTTTTAATAGAAAAAGTCCATGTTAGCAAACTAAATGGTAAGCCATAGTTTCGTAAACCTATTTGCAATGTGAACTCTTGTTAATATGTCAATCCATTACCTTTTTTTATAACATTCTAGGGCTATTAAACACTTTACATGTATTCCTATTCCATTGATAACAAGACTAGATAAATATAGGCTATTCTTATTTCTTTGATTATAGTACAAAATAAATATAAACTCTTAAAGTCATTATCTTTTAATTATTGCTAAACTTTACACTCTCTTGTTACTCCTTTCATTTGAAGTTAAAACCCTTCTTTAACCCTTTACCTTAATAAGTTTAATGCTTTTAACCCCTTATTATATATACTGGTGTTTTAAACCTCTTATCTATATGACTTGAAGGAAGTAATCCATATTTAATGACAAGTTATGGCATGCTTGACATGACAATTGATATTTTATTATTTCTTTCTTTATCAGTGCCATGTAAGCTAATTTCCTTGATATTTCATTATCTCTTGTTCATTAATTACGATTTAATTAAGATTAATCTAAATTAATTCTTATAATACTTGAGCTTTTTCTATTATTGTTCATTGATTAAGAAGATCAAACCCTAGGACTCAAAATTATCAATAGCGAATAATAGCTATTGACCTTGTGGTCCAACTATAAAGGTTGTAGTGAAAATTTGTCCTTTTTGCTGTGGTCCATGTAATATCCCAAATTTTCGAGAATATTTAAGTGTAAGTTAGGGACTTGATTGTGAGAAAAGATTGTTTTGGGGTCTAATATGAATATTTCAAAAGTTGAGGAACTTAAAGAGGGAAAGATTTTGGATAAGGATGACTTCTTTTCTTTTTCTTTTTCTTTCTTTCTGTTCTTCCCAGCCATTCCCGATTCTGCTCTTCTTCTTCCCGCTGCAGCCACCCGAAGAAAAAAAAAGGGAAACCCAGCCATGCCTTGGAAAATTGGTAAGGAAGCTTGGTATTTTCCCCTTCCTTTCTTGTTCTAGAACCCATAAAGAACCCAGAAATTTCCCCTCCCTCTCTGCAGAAACCGGATCTGCTCTGCTTTGCTCTGTCCGCCGGCTGCTCTTGTTGTGGGGGCGAATTGCTTGGGTTTTGGGTAAGAAACAGCCATTAAATCCCTTTGTTTTTCCTTAAAGTGGCTTGGGTTTACTTTAATTGCTCTTGTTCCTCCAATTTTGGGTAGTTCCGTGAGCTTCCCCCTGCAGATCCCACCGGCCTTCCCCAATCTGCTAGCTCCGGTTCCTTGCTTGTAAATTCTGGTATGTGACAGCCTTTTAAGGCTTAAATTGTCCATTTTGTTTGCTGCCTTGTGTGTCCGAAATTCCGCAGAAAATGGGGATAATTTCGGTAGCTTTAAGATGAGATTTAAGCAATAATTTAAGTGGGATTTATGTGATTGAGTGTTAGTTGGTTGTTGTGATTTTTGGAGAAAATCCCGTGAGATTAGCTAGTGTTTTGGCCAATTTGTGAAAGTCGGGGTTACTGTTCATGTCGGGGTTACTGTTCACGTCATAGTTACTG